AAAAAAAAAAAAAAAAGTGACTGATGCCATCAATATGTAGTCTTGACATGTAAAATGATTCAAATTTTCAGCAAGTTCTTCAAAAAAAGAAAATGAAAGAAGGAAGGAACAGAAAAGAAAAAATATGGCTCTAAGAAATAACTTTTTTCATTTCAGGATTTTCAGATTATTTCCTTAATAAACTTTACCAAGATTTTGCCATCTCAATATCCCACTTGGTTGAATGAATTAAGATACTACTCATAATATTAGGTGATCCAAGAGACAATGAATCAATTACAAATCAAAGCTGAACTCATATTCCTGATAACTGTCCTGCGATGAAAAGATCCTATTATGAATTGGTTAAACAAATTATGAAATGCTCAACTGATAAATATTACCCAAACATTAAAAATAATTCCCCAGGGACACCTGGGTGGCTCAGGTAATGATCTCATGGTCTGTGAGTTCAAGCCCTGCATTGGGCTCTCTGCTGACAGCTCAGAGCCTGGAGCCTGCTTCAGATTCTGTGTCTCCCTCTCTCTCTCACTGCCACTCCTCTGCTTGTGCTCTGCCTCTCTCTCTCTCTTTCTCTCTCTCTCTCTCTCAAATATAAGTAAACATATATATATGTGTGTGTGTATATATATATATGTATATATGTATATATATGAACATTTATATAATATATAATAAACACATATATACATGTATATAATCATTCCCTAGAAGAATATTAATAGAAATGGAGAAAATCCTTCAAAAGCATGACTTCTTTTAAGCTAAAGCTATTATAGCATGCCATAAGTGAAACACGGCATCATTTCTGTGATTTTCTTGCCAAAATTGCATGAACTGAATCTAATCATGAGGAAACATCAAACAGATCAAAACTGAAGGGTATTTTACAAAAATCAGTCTGTAATCTTCAAGAATATGATGGTCAAGGAAAGACTGAGGAACTTTTCCACGCTGAGGGAGATTAAAGAAACGTCACTTAATGCAACACATAATTCTAAACCAGATCCTTTTGCTGTAAAAGACATGGTTGGGACAACTAGGGTAAGTCAAAGGGGGTCTGAACGGTTTCCTGACGTTGATCACAGCCCTCTGGTTATGAGGAGGAATGTCTTGCCTGAAATACATGCTAAAATATGAGAAAGTAATGGGCATCGTGTCAGCTACTTGCTCTCAAATCATTCAGCAAAAAGAGTCTCTATTGTGTATTTGCAACTATTCTGTAAGATTAAAACTATTTCAAAATCATTTTTTAAGTTCATTTATTTATTTTGAGAGACAGAGAGAGAGAGAGCGAGAGCGGGAGGGGCAGAGATGGAGGGAGAGAGAATCCCAAGCAGGCTCCACATTGTCAGTGCAGAGCCCAGTGTGGGGCTCGAACTCGCAAACCGTGAGGTCATGACCTGAGCAGAAATCAAGAGTCTGACATGTAACCGACTGAGTCACCCAGGCACCTCTCAAAATAATTTTTTTAAATGCAAATATAAAACAGTATGTAGCTTATGGTAACATTTATATCATTTGTGAGCCTGTTAGTAGATGGATGAGCAGGTGGTAGGAAGGAAGAAGGGAGGGTAAGAAGAAGAAATGAAGGGTGGGCAGACAGAAAGGCAGAAAGGCAGAGAGGAATAAAACAGATCGGAATAACACATAGCAATAGAAAATAATTAGTTGTCTAAAAATGCATACAGGCAGACGTGTGTACTACATTCAGGAATGTGATACACTATTTTCATGATGAGATGGGTTGTAAGGAAACAGGTTTTTTTAGCGCCCACTATATGCTAGGTACTGTTACAAAATGTTCAACAAGGGTTATCTCATTAAATCCTCATAAAAACCAGGAAGATAGTACTATCTCCATTTCTAGGTAAAGAGTCTGAGGTCTAGTAACAAAGTAACTTGCCCAATTTCACACAACTAATAACTAGCAGAGCTGCAAACAAAATCAAATCCGCCTGGTACAAAGCTAATGCTCTTTCTGCTATATGCTAATGCTTATCATATATTTAGGTTATTTGTACACTTCAATTATAAACTCAACATGACTATGTAAGCTGTTACAGCTTTACATTTATTACCCTCACTATTATCTGTTAATAACCTCTCATGTACTTTAAGTGTCTGAAAATATTTTCCCATCCTTTCTGCTAAAGTATCAGGAAATTTCTACTACTAGGATACCCATGAAAATGAAAACACATTACCTGGAAAAGGTAATGCGTTAACTGGTCATCATATTTTGAATGAATTATTCTATGAGCCCAGCTTGTCAAGTCGCCTCTGCAAAAGGAACACACTGATCATTTTTGTACTAGTCCAATAACAACTCAATTGTTTACCTGTCCAACCATATTCTTCCCTATACTCTTCAGGATTTCAATACATCAATTATTCTCCCCCTCTAAGCAACTATCACTTCACTCTTCCCTAATTACTTAGAGTTCTTTAGCCAACAACATTTAAAGGCTTCCCTAAAGATGAGTTTCCCTGAACTTGCTCTTTTCTCAAACCATTAGAGGTACAACCAAATTCTAACAAGGCAGCTCTGTCCCTGGAAGGAGGCAAGCATTTAAAGACACACCATTCTTGGCCTACCTTCTCCTTGATAAGTCTTACCTACACATATTTTTATTAGGGTCTCAAATAATCATTGTGTCAATATCTTAACTTTAAGATATTACAAGGGTCCACTTTTGGAAAATGTGCTCAGGGAGATCACTGTCTAGTTTTATAAAGTCTCTATAATCTGATCGCATGCCAATGTTCCACCTTTTCTCCCACGATTCTCCAATATAGTTATAACAGCAAATACATTTTAGTAATCACCATGTATAAGCCAGATATGCTAGGCATGGATTTCCATTCCATCTCCTCAATGTCCCTCTTCCCATTCTGGGCCTACTCCCACCTCTGCATTTCTGCTCAGGCTCTGCCCTCCATCTGGATGCTGTCCCTCCTATGTAACTTATATATCCTTCTAGGCCCAGCGAAGGCCTTCTGTTAAGGCTCCCTGAAGCCTTCCCAATACTAGTAAGCCCCCACTACGCTGTACCTATCTTGGATTCTTACATTTAAAGCCAGTATTTCCTCATTCAATCTTGATTACTTTCTGCCTAAAGTTATTCACGAATTGCCAATCTTGTTCTATAATCATTATGTATATTTTCTAGATGTCCAGATCCAAGTCATATATGTTTCTGTCATCTCCTGAAGATATATAGCACAGTGAAAAGAAAAAATAAATAAATAAAGTAATATACACAGGATTGTAGCTTAAGAAACCAATCTATGTTAAGTGTTCACACACCTACAAGAATATGATGAACACAAATAATCTGTTTTTCAAACTAACTCCAATAACTTTTATTAAGTTCTCTCAAGAATGTTAATGTTCCTCTTAAGTTACAATGCCAACATTCTTAAAATACATTTTATTTAGACTTTTATTTCAGACTTCAAACCCAGTACATTGACGTTTTGCCAAAATATTAGAGATGAATATTGCTTACCAACATCAACGGGCCACAACCTAAAATTAATCTTTGCATCATAAGTTTCCCACTATAAGAACATAGATTTAGTTATCAGAAATCACAAGAAATGATCTATATGTATATAGCAGAGTTGTCTAAAGAATTAAACTACATCCCAAATTATTACTTCATTAATGCTTACAACATTCCACAAGGCAGGCAAGTATTATCAAATCCATTATATTATTTTTACTATTAATGTGTCTGAAATGGCCATAATTAGTCCAATGACATAGCTTAACCAGTAGGTAGGTGTATGAAATTAGTTTCCATTGAACTTTTCATACAAACATATCCTGCAATCTGAGTCATTAAAAAATAAACTGAATTAATTAATTAATTATTTATTTATTTATAATGTTTACTTATTTTTGAGAGAGAGAGAAACAGAATATGAGCAGGGGAGCAGCAGAGAGAGAGAGAGGAAGACACAGAATCTGAAACAGTCTCCAAACTCTGAGCTGTCAGCACAGAGCCTGATGCAGGGCTCGAACTCCAGAACAGCAAGATCATGACCTGAGCCAAATTCAGACACTTAACTGACTGAGCCACCCAGATGCCCCAGTAAACTGATTTTTAGACCTTTGGAAATCACTGATTATAGGTGGTTCCACACCTGGTAGAAACAGACTACTCAAATTAACTCTATTGAAAATTAATTAGGAAAAATAAAAACATATCACCAATGAGAAAAGTTTTCTACTGGTCCAGTTATTCCTCAAACTTCTAAAATGTATAGCTAGAAATAGAAATGAAGGAAGACTAAAACATTTGCAAGAACATTCCCAGTATTCATTTAAAAAAAAAAAGTTAATGATGAGATTTCCTTTGGAATGTCAGATCCTAAAAGGAAAAAATAAGGTGGATACATTCACCAAGAAATGTCATTTAATTTCCCCATAAATTAAGACAAAATTACCCACCAAAATTTACATTAATTCTCTCCATCATTAAATAGAGATTTAATAATCTCTCTGTACCTGAATGGAGAAAGATGAAAACAAATGTATTTTCTTCCTAGATGGTTTATTAGAATTCGAACTGTAAAGCATTTCTAGACATTTGCAAGGACCTAAAAGAGGGAATCGTACCTGTTTTACTAATGACTTCCTGTAACTCGGCCATAGAAGTGATGATTGCAGCCAGAAGGTCAGAACTGGTAAGCCAACTAAGTGCTTGCAAACAACGTAACTGCTCCTTTTGGTGCCCTGCAAGAAAAGAAGATCCGTTATGCGATGTTACAAACTTTTAAAATCCATGTTTAAAATTCATAGCAATGTTTGGCTATTTAGGAAATAGACCAAAACTTGTAGGCAGAACTTTGTCTAGTGTGGAAAAGTCTACAAGAAATGTTAGATTTGACTGACAATTTATTTATATATATAAATTAAGTGATGTCAAAAAAAAAAGAGAATTTTTTCTTTAGTTCTACTTATATTACTTAACAGCTTGATTTTTTTATTTAAAAAACTTTTTTTAATGTTTATTTATTTTTGAGAGAGAAAGAGAGAGAGAGCATGAGCGAGGGAGGGGCAGAGAGGGGGGCAGACACAAAATCTGAAGCAGGTTCCAGGCTCTGAGCTGTCAGCACAGAACTGGACACGGGGCCCCAACTCACAAACTGCAAGATCATGGCCTGAGCCGAAGTCGGAAGCTTAACTGACTGAGCCACCCAGGTGCCCCCTTAATAGCTTGATTTTTAAAGTCAAAAATTGAAATCACTATTTCCTCAGAATAGTGAAACTTTTTAAAAAAAAAGTTAACTGGAAAATTTACATCTGTCTCATTTCCATTCAATTCCTCAATAGATTTTTAACTCTGATCATTTTATACTGACTCATAGAAAGTAAAAATAAATTATACTGCTAATTAATTTTAAATAGGGGAGAGTCTCTGGATCGACTTAATTGAAAAATCACTATATAAACTCTCCACTTTACGGTGAAAAGAGCATTCAAATATAATAAAGCTGACTATATATATATATATATACACACACACACAAAGCTAGGCAAAGTTGAAATTATATTTGCCACTTTCTTTAAATTTTAATGTTTACAACAAAAAATCAAAACCTAATTTATACATAAATATACATTTCTCCATACCCACATACATATCTACAACACATGAGAGACTATGTTACATGAGTTGACATATTAAATGATTTTTCAAGTTTTTACACAATGGCTAAGCCTGGTCACATTGTATGTCCTTACACTCAACTTAGATTTTAAAAAGCTTAAATTATCTTACTTGGAAATTTATGCTTGTCTTTGGGCTCTCCTGTACACACCAACATGCCTATGCCTTCTTTGAAGCTCTCCATCCAGGTAAAAAGAGAGGCACATGATTGGCCCAAAATCTTGAGCCTATTTGCTGCCAAAATTGCAATTACACCTTTCCGGAATACACGTATCATCAGTCCTTTGAATGGCCTTTTCTTCATCTTAGCTTCCTCTTGCTTCTTTTCCTCTACAGTTGACAAAGCCTGGGCTAGAGTTCTGACTTCCAGTTTGAACAACTCAAAGGTGTTGAACTGCTCCTGGAGAAAATCTCTCTGTGTCGATAAGGCACATGACCGGCTATAGAGAGGATATAAGGCACCGGCCATCAATGCACAGGCTGCCAGCAAGGATGCTTGTTCCCTTTGAGTCTGTGATAACACAGTTTTGAAGCGTGAATTTTCGAGAACCATCTGTTCGTGTGACTTCTCAATACGGTTCAACTTTTCCATATTTTTTTCAGCAATTTCTTGAAATTTCTATAAGAGAAGTCAAATAAAATATTTTAAACAACTAGGCATTTTATTACTTCCTCTTTGTAGAAAGAAAACAAACTTTTGCTGACAACCAATTCTTCCTCAAAAGACCCATGTTCTAAATATCCAAAAAATATGTATGATGGAGCAACAGGTTAGATCTAAATGCGCATGTTGATCTAAACATTTTTTTTAACATTTACTTATTTTTGAGAGAGAGGCAGAGCATGAGCAGGGGAGGGGCAGAGAGAGGGGGAGACACAGAAAAGCGGGCTCCAAAACACAAAGCGGGCTCCAGACTCTGAGCTGTCAGCACAGAGCCCAATGAGGGGCTCAAACCCACCAATTGTGCGATCATAACCTGAGCTGAAGTCGAACCCTTAACCGGCTGAGCCACCCAGGCGCCCCTAAATGTGCATGTTGATTTTTAAATCCTCTTGCACAGAAACTTTACATAACATAGAACACATAACTCTAAAAGTACTTCATGAATTTCCCATACACCTATGCAGAAACACACATATTTAGAAAAAAGAATTTCTCCTCTTCCATTCCTCACTTTTATTTCCTGCTTTTTAAACAAATTACATCAGCAGTAGAGGTTTTCCTATATGTGAAAAGACTTTACTTTTTGCCAGAATAAGCAAAGGGTTAAATCAACAATATAACAAATAGCACTTGACTGTCTGCCATTTACTGGGTGAGGGGGGACTGATTCTCGGGTTAAAATCTCTCATTTCAGCTCTTTCTTACCTTCCTGAGACAGCAGACTGAACAAAGCACAGCCCCAGTGGTGGGAGGAGATAACTAACTGTGAGCTGGGCCTCAGCATCTCTCTGATCCTTTTTCCCTCATCAAGGAATTTGCAATCCAAAACAATTTGAAACACCAAGAAATTTTAACTATGGACAACATATTTTAATTGCTAGAAAATAAAATAGTTCTCTATGAAATCTTATGCCTGATCATTAAGGAACTGCTGAGGTAGAGTATTCAGAAGATAACAGATCCCAATTTCCTTTACTGATTCATTTATCATTCAATAAACATTTATTGACTAGTCACTAAATTCCATGTGCTAGGAAAACAGACAAGCAAATCAATTACTGTGGTGTAATGCTACTATCAAACTATGCCAGACTGCCAGAGGTACCCAAAAGGGAGTTTGCACAAAATGATATTGACAGGCTTTTGGAGGGATAATGACAAAGGACAAGTGGTGGTGAGGTATGTAATAGAAAGAATTAAAAAAAAATTAGTGCTAAAGTGTGGCTCCATAGCTACCCTAAAATAATTTAATCCGAGTTGGAGAAAATCACACAAACCCTTGATGACTCCACAAGATTTGTTGTCAAAGCCTACCATGGACAATGTTGATAGGCGGTAGCCAAAAGAATTCAAACTTGTGGAAATATACTGCTAAGGAAAGTAACTCTTGTACTAAATCCAACCCCAAGGCTAGTGGATGAGATTCCCAATAAGTGCACGGTGAGTAGAAGAAGGCCCTCAGAGGTACAGTCCTGAGCACAAATGAATTAAAGAAGTACACAAGAAGCCACTCTCTGAAGGATTCAACTTCTTGGATGCCTTCCTTTGGGCAGGGGAAACACTGTATTTTAGACATGGTTTTAAATGTTTCTATACTATAGGGGCTCCTGGGTGGTTCAGTCAGTTAAGGGTTCGACTCTTGATTTCCACTCCAGTCATGATCTCATGGCTCATGAGATTGAGCTCTGCGTTGGGCTCTGTGCTGGCAGTACAGAGCCTGCTTGGGATTCTCTCTCTCTCCTCCTCTCTCTGCCCCTCCCATGTGCTCTCTCTCTCTCTCTCTCTCAAAATAAATAACCTTAAAAAAATGTTTCTATACTATAATTGTCTTTATTTACTCCGACTCTTCTCTAAAGTCTGAACCAGCCATATCTGTGGTACTACTGTGAAAAAGAAAGGAATAGGGAAATAAAGGAATTGTGGCTTGCCCCAACCACATCTCCACCCATGGCCAAGCAGTGGTAGCAGTATTTCATCACCGGGACTGTGTCCCAGAGCTCCATGCAAAGACACTTGTAAAGGAAATGGTGTCCCACTGGGAGTAGCTGAAAGAAGCAAGAAACTCTGAGAAGCACTAGCCGGGTGGACTGTTTGGAAGCAGACGTGAGACACCCCTTTAAGAAGGCAACCTTTAAGAAAAGGGAAAGCTGACCTGCACTGTAGCTAAAGAAAGCAGAAAGACCAGTATGTGGAAGAGTGAGAGCCAGAAAACAGGATAATGTATTCTAAGGAAGTACAAATAATTCAGAACGCCTGAAGAAAAGAGGACAATGATGGAAAACTGACAAGTAGGTGGATAAAAGATGATAAAGCTAAGGAATTTAAACTATCTGGAAAGCCATGAGAAGCCATAAAATCCTGGAAGTCGCCCTGCTTTAGCTAATGGATGGGAGAATCAGAAATATTAATAAAGACCGCCATGGGTAGCAGTAAAGTTGCCGGAAGTGGAGATGGAACAAGAGGAGCAAACAGAATTTACAAAGGCTAATTCCATATTTTCTCCAAAATCAATTCCACCAGTTCAATTACAGGGGAAAACAGGAAAATTATAGACAATCCAAGATAAAAGAGCCACACCGGTTACAGCTAGGTAGTAGAAATAAACATTAACCTAATCAGGTTCCAGGTGGAACATAGTCACAGATCTCAAAGTCTGAGGCAGAAGTATATTTTCAACAAAAAGTACTCTTCTGTGAACAAAAACAAATGGTGAATAGATACATTTGCTAATGATATTTTAAATGTTTCAAAATAGCATGTGAAGTCATTGGGCAAAATCGAATGGGTTGTTGACAGAGAGCTGAAAGTATATTTACCATACCAGAATTAAAATTTTTAAAGTAAATTAAATAAAAATTTTAAAATTTAAGAAAAAAAAAAAGGGAAGACAGCTGAAAGTAAAGCAAGCCTGTTCTGGAAAAGAGTTAGCTGTAGCACATGACAGATCTACCGAAGACAGCTAGCCTACTTCAGAGCATCAGATTGAAGCTAACAGCGTTTTAGAAAGGCAGCCAGAAACAGGTAGTCCTGGAATGAGGATGACAGAGTAACCAAAATGTGGAGAGAAATGGATAAAAACCTGAACTCCATTACCCAAAACACCCCACTTCTCTCGACAGACAGAAAGCCAGGAACAAGCTGGAATGTCTTAAAAACAGAATTGGGATTCCAGACTTACACAGCCAGTTTTCGTTTTAGGCTGCCTGCTAGAAGTAGTGGCAAAGTACTAAAGCAATCTTTTAAATTCTCGTGTCTTTCAAATCCTCGTGTCATTCTATGGCCCCCAAATTTTGATCATTTGTAGCGATTATATATTTAGAAGTGCTTAATTGATTAATATTAATTACTACCACGCTTCATGATTTCTCAGAGACTCAGATGCCATTCACAGATTGGTGAAACAGTAAAAATAAGACTAAGAATATGTGTGAAGTCTGCTTATAAATAAAAATAAACAAACTCAAAAGACTATTTAATTGTCTAATAACCATCTGCTGTCCCCAGCCATTCTTGGTTTAAGTAATTATAATCAAGACACCTAGTATCGATTGTTATTTTTTAAAAAAATCAACCAGACCAATATTCAACTAGATAACTAGAATTTATTAGCAGGGTGAATTAAAGATTTAAAAATAATGAAGTTAAACATTTAAAGTTTTAGAGCTCTTATCGACAAATATTAAGTTAGCCACACAAAATCCTCAATAACATTAATACTTAATGCAAGTTTTGTTCATTTCTTAACAATTACATTTCTGCATCCCTGCTGTCTCCACTCAAATCTAGAACCACAGATCTGACTTCCCGGTAAGCATCTCCACTTAGCTACCTCACAGCCATCTCAAGCTAAAGTATCCAGTCCAGTACTATTGACTTGCCTCCTAAACGTGTTCATGATAGTCCTCTTTATGTCAATACATGGCACCAACATCCACCAAATTGTTCAAATCAAAAACTTTGCAGTCAGTTTTAGTTCCTCCTTTCACCTTATCCTCTACCGTCCCAAATCAAAGCCATCAGCAAGCACCATTGGGTTTACCTATAAAATACGCCCTGATCTGTATCTACTGCTACGCATCCTACTTCCAGCTATTCACCACCAGCCACTCATGCCCCCTTCCATGCCGCTGTCAGATTACGTCCATCCGATCCTATTGTTTAGCATCTTTGTCCTTACTGAACCAAGGTTCCCTCCTCAAGTCACAACACTCCCACATGCCTTCTGCTGTAAAGGCTTCACCTTCTCCCACAATCCTCACCCTGATGATAAAAGGAGAATGGTCTGCTTCTTTACTATCCGGACACGAACCTCACCACTCTTCACAATTTAACCAATGCTGTCTAGCATTCCCAGGTCTTTTCCTTTCCAACTCCCCTAACACTATTCAAATCCTAGCAATCATCAGAGCCCATTTCAGGGTCTATCTATTCCATGACACCTTTTCCTATAATTCTCACTCATGCTGACCTTGACCTTCTCTGAACTTAATTATATGACTCACACATTTAATTCTGACACTGCTACTTACTTATTTCATGTATGCATATCTGTTCTCCCTCAAATGCAATAGAATGCTAGTTCCTGGAGGCCAGGAAGTATTTACTGCAGTAAATATTCTATTTACAGTGCTCTATACCCTGTAGGAATTTACTAAATATTGAACAAATTAAATAATCCTTTATAAGATGTTCCTTGGTGTTTACCACAGTTTTTTTTTGTTTTTTTTTTTTGCCCATAATAGGCACTGACTAAATACCCAATGAATAAAAAGCTTTATAAATGTAAGGAGAAGAAAAATATAATCCGAAAAAAAGATATCATTTCTAAATATAATTTGGAACTTATCAACACGTCAGAATTCTGCTTTAAAATTAATTCTGATATTCCACAGGGATCTTCAAAGGTGCTGCATTATTTACTGTGAATTATTCTTGAAGAACAAAGCTTGTTTGAT